GCGCCCCAAAAAGCCGGACTTTTGGCCCTAGAAGGCGAACAGTAATTTTTAGAAAGATATACATACCTTTCTGAGGCCGTGCAGCCAAAAAACTCACCAACTACAACCCCCAAGGGCGACGGGGATCGAACCCCAAGCAAGCAGGGTTCGATCCTCGTCGGGACCAATGGAACTATTAATTGCAATTATAAGTGCTGATTTACCACGAGCTCGGCGGTGAAGGAAACATCGTCAGGAAAGCATGTCTGAGATGTAAGAAAAAAAATATTTCGAAAACATGTGAAGTCAGCCAACACGCATTGGGGCAGCGCGGCGGACACTTCCTTGCCCTATAACCTTCTCAATAATGAAAGAAGGCTTGTGCGGCCAGCATTGGAACGTATATAGGATGTAACTTTTAACTTTTTTTTATATCTTAGTATAGGAATGTCAATTAACATTTCGCATGCTTTTGATAGAGTTGTACAGAGTCGTGGTAATCAGAGCGTAGCAATTAACGCTTCAATTTGAAATGAGAGCTCAAAGTAAGGGGTATGAATTGCAAACGTTTAATTATCCCTTTGCCCAATGTAAAAGTAACCTGGTTGTTTATGTTTGTGTATGATAGCACAACTTTCAAACTCGCTCATGCATTAAATTAACTCACATAAACACAAAGGTTAACTTTTAAATAAATAACAATTTACAACATTTTTTAGTTCAAAGTTATTATAAGTACGAAGGCTGTAGATACTTACTTGATATTAAAATTATTAATTACTATAGAAAATAAGAAAAATAAGGAAATTATTTATACCTAACCACAAAACTTTAAGACAAGAAAAATTATGTAAAACTGTTCTTTTTAACGTGGTAGAGCCATGCTGCAACTACATTACTAGTATAGCTGTAGCACGAATGGTTCGGCTCGACCGGGGAAAGACCACGCTCTCACAGAATACCAGAGTAAAATAGCAGCTTAACACTGCTGTGTTTCGTATGGTGAGTGTAGAGAAGCGGAGACCCATTTTACTAAAAAAGAGGCATTCCGTCTTAGTCCTCACGGGTGACAACGCATCTGCATTTTGATTATTTATTGAGGATAGATGTAGATGTCTATGGGTCACAGCAACCACTTACCATCAGGTGGACTGTGTGCTCGTTTGTCACCCTTTCCTGTAAAAAAAAAGCGGAGTGGTGATGTAAGAATATCCACTACCTCATGTCTCGTAAGTGTCGTAAGACGCGACAAAGGAATTAAAACCGGAGATAGGCAGCAAAGTCTCAACAACTAAACGTTAAGAAACCTGCTGTTGCCAACCCATTTGCCACACGTGGCAACTGTGGCAAATATCCCCTCTATGACCGGATCTATGGCGGAGGCCTCTGTTCAGTAGTGGACTTTTGATAGGCTGTAACGGTGTAATGGTAACGGTTAATAAATAAATAAATACATTCCCGCCACTGTTAAACATCGGGTCAAGTTTCAAAAAAGTACATTACTTTGGGACTTCAAATTGGTTAAAATTGGAAAACAAATTTGTAAATGTGTAAATTATTTAATAACTAGGTATTACCCGCGACTTCGTTCGCTTGAAATTTATTACGATTTAATTTCAAAGGTTTAATTTTTTTGTGCGGAACTCTAATTATTTTTCTAAAATAAAAGTAATCTAAGTTACTCCTTATAATATCAGCTATCTGTTAGTGAAAGTCCCGTCAAAATCGGTCAAGCTATTTCGGAGATTAGCCGGAACAAACACACAGACAGACAAAAATTTTAAAAATTGTTTTTTTTTTGTTATAAGTAGGTACCGTATATTCATATCTTAAGTAAAAAAGACCTCTTATCAATTTCGGTTATTCATTCATTCATTCATTACAGTCCATCTAAAATCTACTGCTTAACATAATATCATCATATTTGCAATAGTTGTCACGCGTGGCAGGCGGATTGGCAACCGTCTTCAGAATAACACAAAAAAATACGAAATCAAGCTTTTTAAAAGAAGCACGACTTGTAATTTCGTTTCAAAAAACTGGATATTATTAACCCTTTTTTTACTTTGTAGGGTTTCCGAAAACTTGAGGTATGGCAAAGGAAATCATATAAACATATTCTTTGTGGAAATCAATTTAAAAGTACCAAATCAAATGAAATATTTCGTTATAGGGAGTCGTATATTTTTTATGTAAGCAGAATAAGTCTGGTGAAAGACAAATAAAAGGCACTTTGAAGACGTTTTGACTACATATTTTGACTGCATTTATATTTTGATTACTTCGATTGAAATAGTTTTGCTATTATAAACTTATAATAAAATGAAATCGCTTTTTATTGGCGGCGTACGAATATCCACTAACCTATGTTAACCTGTGAGTGTTTTAGAGGCGACAGAGAGAAACTGAAACAGCTATGAAACATTGCCCCGACTCGTATTGTGCTTTTTATGTGGTAGAGCCACGCTGCATGGATATTATACGAGGGTGGATTGAAAAGTACTCGGCCTAACCAAGAAAATAAACACATACTAAATCAGTTATATTTTTATTTTTCTACATAATCACCATCAAGTTCAATACACTTTTGCCACCTCCCCTTCCAAGCATTTAAACCGTTGAAAAAAAATGATTCTTCCTTAGAGTCAAAATATGCGTCTACAGCTGCTTTGACCTCGTCGTTTGTCGAAAATCTTTGACCTCCCAAGTGCTTTTTTAGGTTAGGGAACAGAAAGAAGTCTGATGGTGCCAGATCAGGTGAATGCGGCGGATGCGGTAACAGTTCAAAGCCACAGTTGTGAATTTCAGCCATTGACTGTACTGACGTGTGAACACGGGCGTTATCTTGATGAAACAGGACTTTTCTTCTGAGCATTCCTCGACGTTTTTCTTTTATTTCCTCTCGTAAACGACGTAGTAAGGTGCAGTAGTAATCAGAGTTTATATTCTGACCCCTTTCAAGATAATCAATCATAATCACACCTTTCGAGTCCCAGAATACTGAAGCCATCACCTTATTTGCCGACAAAATCGACTTAGCCTTTTTAGGGGGTGGTGAACCAGGTCTTCTCCACTGTTTTGATTGTTGTTTTGTTTCCGGTGTACAGAAATGAACCCATGTTTCGTCCATAGTAACAAAACGATTCAAAAAATCATCTGCATCGGCTTCAAATAACTCCAAACAGTCGCGTGAAATAGTCAATCGCGTCCTTTTTTGTTCAACTGAAAGCAGTCGCGGCACCCACCTCGCAGACACCTTGTGGAAACCCAACTCTTTGACAATGATGTTTTGAGTTCGTTCATAAGAGATGCCTATAATCTCGGCTATCTCTCTAATTTTTAATCTGCGGTCTCCCATTATTAAATCAAGTACTTTTTTAATATTTTCGTCAGTAGTTGACGTCGAAGGCCTTCCAGAGCGGGGTTCATCTTTCACACTCTCTCTACCACGCTTAAATTCTGCTATCCATTTTTTGACGGATGAATATGACAGAGCACAATCGCCTAATGTACTGACCATGTCATCATGGATGGCTTTTGATGATAGCCCCTTCTTATGGAGGTACTTAATGACGGCACGCTGCTCGATTTGCTCCATTCGCGGAAATTATGTCCGATTACTTTGTTAATAAATTTATAAAATCACAACTAATTATCGCACACGTTTCGAACTTCACACAATGAACTAGTCTGAACTGAACTAAATAATGTGGGTAGATTTGATTTTTAGAATTGAATGGATCTGTGTTAGGCCGAGTACTTTTCAATCCACCCTCGTAGTTATAGGACGAATGGGTCGGTTCGATCGGGTCGTAGTCCTTTCTGTGCTTACACAGAATACCAGCATAAAATAGCAGATTTATGCTGCTGTGTTTCGTATGGTGAGTGAAGAGTGTCAGAGACCCTTTTTACTGGAAACGGGGCATTCCACCTTAGTTCTCGGGGATGCCAACGCATCTGACTTTCGAGATTGAGAATTGCATCTGATTGCAAATCATTTGATTCTTAAACAAAGATAAATGTACGTCTATGGGCCAAAGCATCCATTTACCAACAGGTCGACTGTGTGCTTTAATAATAATATTGAATAAAAATATACGCATAGATATTCTATTCTATTACACCTTCAGCTTCACTTACCAAAGATTATATATATTAGGGTTTTAATCTTAATATATAATTTTTTTAGAAATGATTTTTCTGTGTATGATTGTGTGACTTTTAGAAGTTAGTGACTGACTACAGTCGAAAGAGTTTTTGTTTCTATCTGTTGTTAAGACTTAAGACACCAGGGACAAGACTATTTCTAGTGAATAATACTTTTACTTAATCAACGATATAGCCAATCATGAAAATAATTACAGTAAATATTACAATATCAACATATAAGCTATAAATAGATCCAGATGCAACAAAAATTTTAGGTTACATCTTTATATACATATAAAATTCGGTTGTGCGTGTGTTCGTAACTCTTCTACTCCTAAACGGCTTGAATTATTTTGATAATGTCTAATGGAATACTTAAGGCGTCACCAGGATGGTTCTTGGCTCTAGATGGACCCGATACGCGCGCTGTTGTCAGAGATTCAGTAATCAACCGTACCCGTAGTTTTAGATATATTGTTATTGTTCATTTTATTGTGCGTAACTTCGTATTATGTAAGATAATTTGCACTAAAGATATTTACTACCGAATCGCTTTCAAGGTACAATTATTGTTTATTCTGTGATATGTCGTTCCGTTTCAAACATGTAGACGATCGATCGCATCGACCAATCATATATACTTTCTTCATATTGATTGAAGCAACGAGTGGTAACCTATATCGGGCCCTTGATGGTGATCCATAAATAGGTCGGTTAGATATAGAAGAGAAAAATATAAGTAAAGTAATAAAGGTTCGAGCTGGCCCCGAACATAAAGTACATTTGTGTCAAGTATATAAAATTACGAACACACTCTAATAGGCACATAGGACAACCTTTAATTACTACTTTAAGTAGATACCTAAGCTTACCATGATTGAGGCGAAACTTGAGGTGTTTCTCGAGTACAGCGGGTTCGACCAGGACCGAGATTTCGTCTATAGAAAGGGCTGCGCCGACTCGGCACCTCGCGTCGGGGCATGACACTTCGTAGGCGCCGTTGCATACTTCGAATTCCACGTAAGCTTTCATACACTGTAACAAGAAAAAATAAAATAAAAGAAGGAACATTTTTATTTAATCACTAATCAAGAGAGTATAGGACTATCCTTACTAGGCCAACAGAAGCTCAGCGAGACTTCGCTTTTTTGTCAATACATTACGCATTTAACCAAACGGTTTGCTTGATCGTTCGTTATGCGTATACCAATGGAGGGAAATAATTTGCCAGCGTCTCTTTCCATGCGATTACACATTGTAATCGGATTGATTCTTTGTGTCTTAAGGACAACTGTGGATAGGCTTTTGTTAACCTAAGTCTGCGAGTTTAGCTACATCTCCACTTACCATCAGGTGAGATAGTAGAAAAATAAGGAACTGCAAAAACACTGACTTATAATAGAAAAAAAAATCTTAAGTTAATGCTACTATCCTTAGTCGTAGTAGTGTATTAAGATGTTGCTCTTGGTTTCACAGCGGACTTTTCTATTTCGTATGATGAGTAACGAGATCTATCGCATCTTTAGGGATGACAACACACTTAAAAGATGTAAAGTATTTCTTCGAGGTAGGATTTTTACCAGGATCATAAAAACATTCTGCCATTAGGTGGACTGTGACTGGTTTGTCTTTCTTATCAATATATACTGGTACAAAAAATTCTTATAAGACCTTATAAAGGTTGTGCTGAGCTCTATTTCAAATACGTTATATTACGTACTAAAATATCATTGCAAAGCTGAAAATAATTGCCTGCTCGAAGCCCCTCGCTTTTATGAAACTGGTAAACAACAAAAAACGCTGTGTCATCGATAAAGCCATCAAACTGAAAGCCATTAGATTGCCATTGTATCACAAACAATAGCAATGATGCTAGAGAGAGCCGATTATTATTAAGTACTAACGACATCGTGCTGCATCTAAATAGAAGAGAAAATCAAACAACGACTACATCGTGTTGTCTTTAAATTGTCATATGAAATAAACATGTTATATAATTAATAAATAAATATATAATACAATAGACGTGTACATATTCCATATTCATGTTTGTGAATTTAAAGCTTTCCATTTATCTAAATGAATACCTACAATAAATAGCTGTAATATAGAGTAGATGAAAAATACATAAATGAATTTGTACATACTATCATTATTATTTTTTTGATAGAAGAAGGGGCAGACGGGTGGCTAGCCTCCTAATGCGGCTAGTAAGTGTCTCCTATTCCGCCTAGTCCGTGGGATTAAGTAGGAAGTAGCAGTGTCTGCACTGTTGTGATCCGGTCTAAGCTGTATAGAGCCAATATAATAACCATTTAGTCTTAGTCCACCAAGCCATTTAGTCTTAGTCCTTATACGTCACATCTGTATGTTCTTTGTTTGAAGTTGGCTACAACTGTCTATGAACTGCAGAAGTGACTTACCATAAGGTAGACTGTTAAGTTTATCAGTTTGTCATTTCAATTTTATTAAAAAAAAACTTTGTAATTACAAATTCACACTACGGGGCTAAAATTAATATTTAAGGTTTATTCGGGTTCATTTGTAGTGTATTCTGAATTTCCGACGTTTCGAGTGATAAACAGCACTCATTCATAGTAGCCTCCGTGTAGCGGCGTTAGAGAATTTACAAGGATGATTTATAGTAGGCAGCCGTAAGTTTATGTAATGGATAGCATTCGTGTAAATATAAATAAATCCGAGCTCACTGAAATAGAATAGAATAGAATAATTTTTTATTCAATATTGATTATTACATAATACTAATCGAAAGTAATTATTTATTTACCACTGGTTCAGAAAATACCTCTGTACTGGGAAGAACCAGCAAGAAAACCAGCGGGAACACGGTACAATTTTATTAAATCACGCTCTTTATTAAATCTATGAATACCATTTTTAGAACACATTTTTTTCACGCGGGTCTTAGCTGATTTAATGTCTTTACAAAAGATATTCGAAAACGGCAAAATTCATATAGAACTTGGTTACATCACGAAGAAAATGGTGATGATGATTGGTTACATTATAATAACAGACAATAATATATTTTATTGACTACATGGTTGTTGACCTCTGGTCGGGAAGTGAAGGTATAAGAATATCCATTACGGGAAACAAGGACATGGGCAGCAGCGTCTTTCTAATAACAACTAAAAACTAAAAAAAAACTGCCGTTACCAACCCGCCTATCAAGCCTGTCAACGCTGGCAAATATTTCCCCTATGGCAATCTATAGAGTGAGAGCTCTTTGGTCTCTCTCTTAATTTTTTGTATGTTGTATGTTTAGTATGAATAGATTATAGTGATTATAGTAAAGGCGATTGTAATAACCTAAGAAGATTACATCACGTTAAACGATACCGATAGATAGTGTTTATACACGTAGAAAATATTTAAATTTATATCCTCATTTTAATCACATTCAATATGTGTTTGAAACAGTCCTTTGTAAATTACACTTAGCATGACGGAGTGAAAATAAAAAGAAATTTGGTTTTACTGTGATAAAGCTAAAGTCTTTTAATTAAATACTGTGAAATCGTCTCCGCAGAGCGCCGCACGGAAATGGAACGTAATATATTTAATTAAAACGTGATTAAATTAATTCCAGTGAAACCGTCCCTTTTCATAGTTCGCTAATATTAAAACTTTAAACAGATTTCTAAATGCTCGGAGTATTTCTGCGTGATAGACTCAATATGTTCAGCTGTAGACTTGTGGTGGGGCTGCAGGATACAATGCCTCGTTACCAATAAAAAGGACCTCTGGTTCACATTACTTTTTTATTTCAGTGTTCGATATATCCTTAATAGATTTTAGATTTGGCTCCATCATTCCAGTTCAATCCCCAGAAGACACAAGTTTGCGCGTTTACCGCTAAAAAGAACCCCTTTGTCGTATTTCCTCGGTTTCAAGGCACTGCCCTTGCTGGCTGAGATAGCATGGGGATTTCGACATATCGAATAGTGTGCAGTTTCGTGGTCACTTGAGAAGGCCAAATTGGCCTCTAAAATTCTTGGCGTGCTCAGCAGAGCGAGACAGTATTTCATGCCGGCACATCGCTTGCAACTTTACAAAGGGCAAGTCCGGCCTCACATGGAAGACTGTTCTCATCTCTGGGCCGGGGTACCCCAGTGCCAGCTCCTTCCACTTGACCGCATCCAGCGCAGAGCGGTTCGAATTATCGACGACCGAGTTCTTTCTGATCGGCTCGATACACTGGCACTGCGTAGGGATGTTGCATCTCTTTGCATTTTCTATCGAATCTACCACGGGGAGTGCTCTGAGGAATTGTTTGGATTAATTCCAACCGTCAAATTTCACGAACGTTCATCGCGTCAAAATTCACGATACCATCCTCATCATCCGGATGCTTGGCGATCCACGACTGTGCATTTTGGAGTTTTCTTCCTCGTACAACTTCTCTGTGGAATTGTTTACCACCGGCGATTTTTCCGGACTGATACTACTACTTAGGGACCTTCAAGAAAAGAGCTTACACCTTTCTAAAAGGCCGGCAACGCATCTGCAATTCCCCTGGTTCCCCTGATGTTGCGGTTGTTCATGGGCGGCGGTAGTCACTTACCATCAGGTGAGGCGCATGCTCGTTTGCCATCTCTTCTATATAAAAATATCTTCTGTATAAAAAAGAATTGTTCCAAGAAAACAATATGGCGATTGCTTGACTACACTTTCTGTACCTAATAACAGATCACCAGTCGGGTTCTTCTTTTTTAAGTAATGCTTAATGCAGCAATAAAGTAAAGTCCCCGAAGAACTTAAAAAGGTTTAAAAGAAATCGCCATATTAGTACGCTTAGGCACTGCCTGGTTGATATAGTGATCGTATGCGCGACTGACGATCCTGTGGTCCCGGGTACGAATCCCGGGTCGGTCCAAAATCAATTGTTGGGGTCATTTTCAAGAAATTCTGAGTCGCAGCTCTTTCATTCCCGAGCCTCGGAAAGCCGTTGGCCCTGCGCCTGATCTATTTCTGGTTGTGTCAGATTGCAGGAGACTATATGAGTAAGGAAATAGAGAGTGCACCTGTGTTTGCGCATACACAACTATAATCGTGTCCTGTGCAGATGGCTAGTCTCCGTTGAGACAGGCAGATGTGACCGGATTTCGGTTTTGGGGGCCATTATTATTATTTTGATACTAGCACTAGCACTAGGCGGTCTTCTAATATCTCAAGCATAATGAAGTTCTTTTCGATATCTGGTAAGAAATATTTTGTGTTGGATTGTTTTATTTTGCCTCGTCTGTGCTTCACAGTCATGTGATACAATATACACAGGATAGGACAAACCTCCAATTCATCCAAGATCAATCAAATAAGGTTATATTCAGCTTGATTGTAAAGAAACTGAGAATGATATATTTTTAATCAATATAAAATTAATCTCGCACAACTTTGACGTTGCTCCCCGTCGGAATATAGTTATAAGATTATATGACTTTTAGACGTATCTTTCGACACCTGCGAGTTGAAATAGGGTGATAGAATTAGGGAATAGCGATAATTTTGGCACGATAAAATCCCCTACTATCCCATTCAATGCACTACCCTCTCTTGCCTTACTCTTTACATAATAACAATTTCGCTTATTAAAACATACTTCAATTTTTAATTATGTTTGATTACATTTTGTCGGCTTTAGTTCAAAGCGGTTGCGGTTCCAGCTATTCTTGCAGCACTTATAAGTCGGCACAACCGGGATAGGACAACGGTCTCTCAGAATGTCAGCGTGAAATAGCAGCTTAATGCTGCTGTGTTTTGTATTGTGACTGTAGAGAACCGAAGACTTTTTTTTCTGACAGCGAGGCATTCTAACTTAGTCATGGGGGGTGACAACGCATCTACATTTTTAGATTCTTAATCGAGGATAGATGTAGGTGTCTGTGGGCCACAGCATTCACTTACCATCGGGTGGACTATGTGCTTGTTTGTTACCCTTTTTCAAATGTTGTCAGTCCAATTTATCTATACAAATAAATAAAATCGAAGTGTCTGCTTGTAATGTCAAAATT